AGATCTTCATTCCATTATTAAATTATACAGTTTCATCCAGAAAAATTCATTTTTAATGCAATTGACATTAAGATGTTTTCACATGCATTTCTAATATCTATATATCTGATTATAACTAGTGACAGTTGGTTACTTTCTGAGCTCCTTAGCATCTGAGCATGGATATAAAGCCCACAGGTAGATTTCAATTTTTGCAATTTTTATACAATATAATTTGATGGTATTTAGATCCTCTCACCTACTGTGCCTTCCCATGTTACCCCCACTCAATGTAATGAACTCTAATAATAATAATAATTTTATTATATATAATTATATATATTCCTGTAGAATTGAATTTGTGTCTCCAAATGTACTTCAGTGTGGGTCCATCCACGGGAGCCTGGCTAACCTATCAAGTGTACCAAACTTGAAATATGTTGTCTCTGTCCTTGCCAACAGTCATCAGTTGCCAAAATTTCCTTAGGTTGGGTTGGAGTTTCTTACCAACGTCCCTGCGTTTATCCTGGGATTTGTCTGGTTTAAGCTTGCATGGGACTTCTGCATGTTGTCACCATTACTGTGAATTCATACAAGTAACTGGCCAGCTGTCTAGAAAACTCAGTTTCCTTGTGGTCATCCACCTCTTCTGGCTCTTGCAATCTTTCTGCTCCCTCTTACAGTGATCCTTGAGCCTTGGGAGGTAAAAATTTTACATAGGTCTCTTATTCAGAGATAAGCACTCTTGAGTGTCTTGTTCTCTGCACATTGGCCAGTTGTGGGTTTCAGATGTTTAAGGTTTGTTTTTTGTTTTTTGTTTTTTTAGTTTTCTGCATACTCTAGATACTAATCCTCTTTCAGATGTGTAGCTTGCAAAGGTTTTTTTTTCCCATTCTGTGGGCTATGTGACAAGTTTTTTTTTTATTATTTTTTCCTGTACAAAAGCTTTTTAGTTTCACGAGATATAGTTTGTCAATTGTTGGCCTTATTTCCTTCACTACTGGAGTCCTATTCAGAAAGTCCTGACCTGAGCCTCTGAGTTGAAGTGTACTTCCTAATTTTTCATCAGCAGTTTCATGGTATTGTCTTATGCAAGTTGAGAAGCAAGGATCTAGATTCTTTTTTTTTTTATGTTGAAATCCAAGATTCTCAGCAAAAGTTTTTGAAGAGCCTGTCTTTTCTCCAATGTATATTTGTGCATTTTTGTAAAAAATCAGGTAACTGTAGCTGCATGAAGTTACAGCTCAGTCTCTATTCTATTCTTTGATCACTGTGTCTGTGTTTGTGCCAGTATCATGCTGTTTTGATTACTACACTTTCAGTGTAATTTAAGAATCGGATATGGTGATACCTCCAACAGTATTCATTTGCTGAGGATTATGGGCAATCCAATCATTGGTGTTTTGTGCCTCTATATAAATTTTGAGATTTGTTTTCTGTGTCTGTGAAGAAAGGTTCTGGTATTTTTATTGGGATTGCGCTGAGTCTATAGATTGCTTTTGGTAGGGTGACAATTTTGCCAAGAATAATTCTTCCAGTCCATGGGCATGGGAGGTCCTAATCAAAGCACTGAAAGATTTCTACAATGAAAACTTTAAGACCCTGAAGAAAGAAGTTGAGGAAGACTCTAGAAAAAGGAATAAAATTATTTTATTTAAAGAAAATACACAGAAATTTACAACTCGTTAAAGGGTAGGGAATTCTCTTTAACAGGCTTAAAATAGAGAAAACAGGGACAGGACAGGTAAGCCTTCAGTAGTGTGAGTGTAGACAGACAACAGGACATGAGAAGGTATCTGTTTTTCCCTATGAAAATGATCTTCCCAAAACATTATGCTGTCCAGAAAGGGGAAAACCAAAGTACTGAAAGTCTCTGTTAGAAAGAGGCAAGAGAAAACTGATGGACTGAAGATGGACTGTTGTTGTGAGCAAAATATACAAAGTAGAATGGTGGATAGACTATAGACACCCATACTTAAATGAATAACTCAATTTTAATCCCTAAATTAAGATTTTTATAAACAAATGAAGCTTTCATTTACTAGTCAACAAAATTTCCTAAATGGAAGCATATATTTCATTCACAAGGTCTATGGAGACTGGAGAGAAAGAGGAATTAAGAACTGGCTTTAGAATGAGAAAGGGGTGTGCATGATTTTGACACTCAAAATTGTGACATCTGAGCAGTAAAGATAAAGGACTGTAGACTATCTCTCTTTACATCATGTACCTTAACTCATCACAGAAATCATCTGCAAGAAATACAGAAGAGGAAGATCCATTTAAGATAATGCATCCTTATTGCTCCACATTGTGGGAAACTCTATCTCCTTAAGTAGTGCAGATGAGCAGTGCAATTCACATTCCCACAGTGTACAGTGTCTGTGTGCAATACACACACTATGCTGCTTTGGAGAAACTTCCTGGGAAAGATTCTGAAATGAATGACTTTGCAGTGACTTACCTGTTCTTGAACAAATGAGACAGAACTCTGTGAGACAGAGGTATGTATTACTTCTATTTTTTATATATTGCCTATTTTGTTTACTCTAAGTGGATGTGTTTGTTTTATGCTACAACTTGTGGCTCCTAGTATTTTTTTCTGAATTTCTCACATGGGGGAAAGAATCTTAAGGATGAGTTTGCTTTCACACAAGCTATTTACTGTGGTTTTGGGGTATTTAGGAAGTATGTGTTTTCTATGATTATGACATTTTTATAATGTTTGAGGTTGGCTCTCACTATGTAGCTACAGCTGGTCTGAAATTTGCTGTGTAGTCCAAATCCTCCAGCCTCAGCCTCCTAAGGACTGGGATTTCAGATGTGCACCACCGTGTTCAACTGCAGGTCATAAGTTTTGAATAAGAAAGTCGTTACTTGACCTTTTTTGTTGAAGACAGTATAATAATATTCTAGTGCCATTTTAAACTCTAAATCTGTACTTGGGAAAACATAAGGTATATCAGTATTTATGCAATTTGAGAGTCTTTTAGATAGATCCACTGAAGGGGTACCCCAATTGCCTCACCCTGCATCCCTGTTCAGCATGGAAGAAGACAGAGCGATCTGCGTCCCTATTCCCTATTGGCAATTTGGGTAACCCCTTTAGAGGATGGCATGATAAGAATAGGAGGTAGGAATTGCCAAAGAAAAGTAGCCAGTTTCTTGGCTAAAAGTCAAAATGTCCTTGGGCCTGTTAGCAACATACTCTGTTCCAAAGGCTAAAAATGTCAAAAAGTATTTGGAAGCTTATATCTAATCCTTAAAAGATTTTAGGGTTATCTCTTTAGAGGGGGAACTGTTGGAGGGGATGGAGTGGGCATAGATTAGATCAAAACACCTTATATACATGTATGAAATTCTCAATAAAGTTTTTGTAAAAATTTTTTACAAAGTAGAAAATCACTTTGCCTAAAAAAAAAAAATCACACTCTATCATAAAGTTTCAAAGAACAAAGTGTTTTTCCACTGGTCACGGGATCAGCCTATTCAGCTTCCCTGTGTCTGATTTATTTACTTGGTAGAGTATTTTTATGAATAAAAGAACTTTGAACAAAAAGGATAGAATGACCCTCATCTGAATTATAGTTTCTACATCTTTACTATTACAATGGCTAGAATGTTAGCGTGAAAAGATTTTCATATTCAGGACACTTATAAGTTAGATATCTACTAAAAAGAATTTAAACATTTGTGGGGGGGGTTCCTGGTACATGTTCATGAATGCATCTATATGTAATGGTGTGAAGATATATAAAAATGGAAATGGACATGGGCCTACAGGCTTTGGGGAAATGAAAACAGCAGAACTGGGTAATGAAGGGACAGATGGTAGAGCTGACCGTATCAATGATGGGGGAACAGGTCAGAAGAATCTGGTGCTGTTGATGTAGTGGAGCATTAGCCTGAGTTAAACACCAGTGTACTATTCCTTTGGGTCTGCATGCAGTTTCAGAATCTGGAGTGGATTCCATGCATTGCTCATGGCTTTCTTTTTCCAACATGTGATTCTCATTGAAAAAAGTGATCATGGGATTTGGAGAGATGGCACGGTGGTTAAGAGCACTGGCTGCTCTTCCAGAGGACTCGGGTTCTGTTCTGCCATGGGTACATGGTGGCTAACACCCATCTGTAACTGCAGTTCCAGGAGATCTGACACCTTCTCCTCATTTTTATAGGCATTGTATGATGTGTGTACACTTACATGCATGCAGGCAATACACTCATACACAGAAAATAAAACACAAAAATAAATAAATATATTTAAAAAGAAAAAAGTGATAAGTTCTTTGTTCAGACCTCTCAGATCAAAAACCAACACTTTATAAAATTGACACACTACCTACCATGCTAATGAGGCACCTAAACCAACACTTTATAAAAAATGAAGCAACACATTTTATAGTAATTGATGGATATAGAAAAATGCTTTTTAATATTCTTTCCTAATAAATTGTATATTCTATGTATAAAACACATCTATAAATTTATCATAATGTACTCTAGAAGTGAAATTAAGTTGAAATACCAGAGACTGTATCAAGTTTCTTGCAATTTTCTTTAAAATTAAATTAAATTGTTTTCATATTTTATTTATTATTTTTATTTTATGTGTATGTGTGTATGTGCACCCGTGTTGTGCAATGCCTGTGGCAGACAGAAGAGGCTGTTGGAGCCCCTGGAACTGGAGTTACAGACAGTTGTTAGCTGCCATGTGGATTCTGGGATTCAAACCCGGGTCTTCCGCCAGAACAACCAGTGTTCTTAACCACTGAGCCATCTCTCCAGCCTAAGACTAAATTTTTTATGACATAACATACAGCTATATTAATCTGTTTAGGATGAAGATGATTTATGTCTTTAAATAAAGGGAAAATATTTGTTTCTGATGGAGCTGGAAAATATTCCTCAAGGGAGTATTTCTTGTCCAATTTCTGTAAGTGGAACATGAGAGTAGACACCCAGGGTTGGACTTGGGCAGCGGGGTGCCAAGCTACAAGCTCAGCAGGACCAGCCAGAGGACATTCTACTTTCTGAGATTCTGTGTGATTGTTCATAGAATGGTTGCAGGTTAAACAGAGCTATGGATGGGAATGAAAGTTTGACACCAGGAAGATTACTCCCTCTTTTTGAGGACATTGTCATTGATAAAATTCCCAAGAAGCACAAACTCATGAAAAGGACAAAATTACCCATGTCAGGTACAGTTTAGATCAGTGCACAGCCAAAATACCTATTCACTTCATGTATCTCCAGGAGAGATGAACTGGGATGTGGGGTTCCTGCTCGTTATGTCTGACTTTATCCTGAGAATGTTCAACATTGTTTCCACTAAAGTGTGCACAAGTCACTCATATACAGGCTAGAGCCATCAGATTTCTGTCAGGGTAAGATCAGATTTCATAAACGGGTTTTCTGATGCTCCTCAGGGAGTATATTCTGTCCTTCAGTGAAAGGCACCATGTGGCATGCTCACTGAGTCAGATTCCCCTCTGTGCCATGGAAATAGCAGCCTAAGCTGTTGATTTGACATGTGACCTAAAGTTACTTTGTCATTCTCATGGGTTTATTGTTTTCTAAGAGACTCATCTTTTTATTGATTTTCCAGGTGAAAATGACTTCAGTCATCACGGATTACATGAGGTTATGAAAAGCATCTTTTCCAAGGAACATGCACGTGGACCATCAAGCCAGGGACCTCGCCATCCATCAGGGACACCCTGAACCAGTCATCCTCTCTCAGAAGACACGGAGCAATCTACAGTCATTCATAAAAGGGGAACCAGTTCTCTTTGGGGTACTTAAAAATTGGCATCATCATATTCCCCTACATTTACACTAGGTCAAGTCAATACTACTGAATTATCTAAGTGTATCATGGAAATGACCCATTAGAGGAAAAACCAGATTGTTAAAGAAAAGAATTTGTATAGCTTATATGCACATTATCAAAGTATTCTAGATATGGAACAATGTAGGACTTAATCTTTATAGAAATCTTCTTGTTGTAGATGCCCTGAGTTATTTAGAACCTCCTAATGTAGAAAGGATTTTATTAATTTGATTATTCCTTTCATCAGAAGCCTCTCTCTCCTTTAGGTGAGCCAGATCCTGATTGGCATGATGAATATTTCTCTGTGGCTTATGTTAAAGGCCTCCAATTATTTTCCTGATCAGTTTCTTCCATTCCTGGGTGGCGTTGAATTCCAATATCTTTTCCTTTTGGGGCCAATCTTCGTAAGTTAATTGTAATTTCTTAGAATTATCCTTTTAAATGTTAATAGTAACATATAAAATCACTTTGTGGTGTTTTTATAGAGGCATATACTTTGCTATGATCATATTTTCACACGTTGCCTTCATTTGTGACCCCCCCTCCATTTTGCTAAGACTTCTTAAATAGTTGCCCTTTCACTTTGATATCCTTCTTGATAGAATATATGTTTATTTTATGTATATGTATATGTGTGTGTGCCTTGTATATGTGCACCTCAGCATGCAGGTGCCCATGGAGGTTAATGAAGAGCAAAGGGCATCAACAAGTGGTTGTAAACCATCTGATGTGGGTGCTGGTAACTGAACCCAGTCCTCTGCAAGAGCAGCAGGTGCTGTTAACTGCTGAACCAGCTCTCCAGACCCATATATCCTTTTCTTGGTAAATTTTTGTTGAATTTTTGTGTATTTTATACAGAACATCTTAATCACTGATAAACATATCCTTTTTAAACTCCAGGTTTCTATGTGAAAGGAAACATGTGATACCTACTCTTCTGAGTTGGACTTATTTTACTTAACATGATGATCTCTTGTTCTATTCATTTCCCAGAAAACACCATAATTTTTCTCTTCATCAAGGCTGAGTAGTAATTGTATATATTTACCACATTTTAATAATCTGCTCATCCATTAACAAGCACTTAGGCTGATTCCAAACTTGGCTGTTGTGAACAGAGCTGAGAAACGTTTAGATGTGTAGGTCTCCACTGCATGCTAACATTGATTTATCCTGGTACATCCCTAGCAGTGATGCAGCTGGTAATATAATAGATCTGCTTTTAGTTTTTCAAGAATCTCCATACCAATTTCCATAGGGGCTTCACTAGTATACATTCCTACCATCTGTATAAATTTTTCTTTTTTCCTCAATTCTTGCCAGCATTTGCTGGGTTTTGTTCTTTTATGTTTTCTTATAACTTAAATACACATATAATCTTAAATTATTTTTTTCATTTTTTATCTCAGTTTTGAGAAAAAGGGTTGAGATTCATTCGGTTGTTGGTAAGAGAGGCTGCAGTTGACATGATCTCACACTAACTCATTTGTCTCTGTTGTTATGTAGTACGTTGTGTCTGGAACGCTGTCCATTGTGACTAGAAAGAACATTACAAAAAGTATGGTGAGTGTTCCTGTGTTTTCAGACATGATTCCCAAGTTATCATGTTCTCTCTCATTCCACTTTAAAAAAATAATATTTTTATTTATTCTTTGAAAATTTCATGCATGTATATAATGTATCTTGATCATATCAATCCCCAATTCCCCCAATATCTTCCAATATATATCTCTCTCAACTTTATGTCTCCTCATTATTTATTTTTTTATTATTATTTATTATATTTCTTTTTTAATTGAGTATTTTTTAATTTCATACAAAATATTTTGATCAGTCTCCAATTGTTCCCAAACTACAACCAAGCTGCCACCCATTTCCCTTGCTCGAACTCTGGGCCCTTGTTTAATTGAGTTGGCATAGATCCTGGGTTCGATGCCACCATCGCCACAAGTTCACACGTGCAAGCTTCTAGTGGCCTACAAGCCTCTGCTTCCTTGTAATCATGGGCTAACCCTGGCTCTTACAATTGCTCCACCTTTTCTTCTGCAATGGTCCCCGAGCTGTGGGTGGGAGAGATTTAATATAGGAGTTCCATCTAAGGATACACACTCTGCAGTCTCTTACTATTTAAAACTTGGTCAGTTGTTTTCTTCTGTGTGCATCTCACTATGTTGCATAAGGAAGAGTCACTGGTGAGAGTTAAGGATGTACTAGTTTCTCTCTACCCCCAGTTCACCATGTTCCATGAGTCTTAGGTGTAAAGGTTCCACTGTAGATATGCCACCTAGGACTGGGCATCTCTCAGATGTATAGTCTCTGTGTCTGATCAGTTGTGGGATTCTGCTGTAGCCTCCATCTGCTGCAAAAAGAAGTTTCTTTGATGAGTGGTGTACAGTATACTTGTCTGCAAATATAAGAATCCATATTTAGCATATATTAAGAAATTTTATTTGTCTAGAGATATGACACAGATAGGGTTTTCTCTAGGATCTATGACCTCTCCAGTCATGTGCATTTGACTGTGTTTACAGTGCCACCCGTGAGTTCACTCTCATTGAGAGGGTTTAAGTCCAATTAGATAGCTGTTGACTGCTACAGGGTGAGGGAGAGTAGGCCTTACCTACAATCTCTAGAAAGGCGGATGAATTTACACCAAAGGACATCTGGGTACAAATGCGTGACTGGATAGGATTTAACCTGTATACATGAGGTCTGGTGGAGGGTGAGGGGACATGGATGGGAGGAGAAGGTCTAAATTTGATTAAGAACTGTTGTGGGAAATGTACAAAAGTTCAATACAAAATTTTTTTAAAAAACCAAAAATTATTTTGATCATATTTAGACCCCCTCCTCTGTCAACATCCCCCTTTATTCCCCTTCACCAAATTTCGTGTACTTGTGTGTGTGTGCGTGTGTGCATGTGTGTGTGTGTGTGAGTGAGTGTGTGTGTGTATGTGTGTGTGTGTGTGTGTGTGTGTGTGTGTGTTCATTATAAGGCTATAGAGTCAAATTGTGACCCAAATGTCCTTTGGTATGGATCTATCCAATGGAGTCTGGATAACTGCCAAGAGTCACACTCTTAAAAAAAAACTGACTCTCCTCTCTTAGCAGCTACCAATTGCCAACAATTAATTCCTCAGGTAGGGTGGAGGTTTCTTACCCATTTCCCAGGTCTATGCTGGGCTTTTGTCTGGTTTGAACTTACTTGGAACTTGTAAATGGTGTCACCATTGTTGTGAGTTTATATAACTGCTAAACTTTCTTCTGAGCTGTTTCCTTGTGGTCATTCACCTACTCTGGCTCTTACAATCTTTCTGCCCCCTCTTTCACAATGATCCTCAGCCTTGGGAGAGAGATGATTGATATAGATACACTCTTCAGGGATAAGCACTCTGCAGCCTTTTATTCTCTGGACATTGGAAAGTTGTGGGTCTCTGTGTTAATCACAATCTGCGGAATAAGAAAGCTTTTCTGGTCAGACTTGAAAGGTATATTAATCTCTGAGTATAACAATACTGCATCTATTTAGCAGAATAGTATTAGGCTCTTCCCTATGGCCTGCAACCTGTCTTGCCACAGGTTCCTGGACCTGATATCAGTATTCATGCTAGAATTTTTAACTGGTTTGATCCTGTGCAGATCTTGTACAGGTAGCCACAGCTGCTGTCTGTTCCTGTAAGCAATAGCCATGCCATGTCCCATAGACAGCATTTCACAGGACACCTCCCCATCTTCTGCCTCCTCTTGTGGGATGTTCCCTAAGCCTTGGGGAAGGGATAGATTGCTGCAGGGAATAGTACTTAATGCAGAGACTCTTAACTACTCAAAGCACTGAGAATAAGTGACTATGAGTCCTCAGGTTTCATTTTTGCCTCAGTGGCAGTTCAACGATTCTTTCCCAAATTATCAAACCCTCTCTTACGGTCTCAATGTTCTCTAATTTACAACCTCACAATGATCCTTCCCCAGTCAAAAGGGTAATTTATTGGGCCTACATGAATACAATCATCAAAAAGTAATAGAAGTTCTGCATAATTGGTTATGAATGTGAAATTTAGTGGCATTTTTTTAGAGGGCTCACGCTCACAGTTGAATTGACTTGCTGTGCTCCTGAGTGAATGAATGGTGACTCTGTTTTGTGGTTCTCGTTAAGATTTATGGAAGCCTGGGGATGAACTCTGTGTGTGCCGTGTTAGCAGGAGCATCGTTATTTGCCCTCTTAGTTCCATTTGGATCCTGCTCTGGATGTGGCACTTTATCATTTTATATCAGGAGAGTAAGTATTCATAATTACAAGTTCCTGAAATCTATGGCCATGTGCAAAATCCCTTGAAGTTTATCTGCTTTCTTGGGTACATGAAAGAGGAAAGGTTAAAACTTAGAGACCATCTCAAGGAAGGTCTAGAGCCTTGACAGTCAAGGAATACATTTTTTGTTGTATTAAATATTTTTAATTAGTTTAAAGGACACCTGCCCAATCTAAATAAATATATATTTAAGATGAAAACACAAGTGCACTAATAAATCCAACCATTTATTTTTATTTTAGTCTTCCATAATGTAAAAAGAAGACAGAAGTTTGAGGTCTATATTATATTCTGAAACATGTAGAAAAGAATCCTCACTAAAGAAAACATTTTTTACTGAAACTAAGAGTAATATATTACATATAGGAAAAGTATTAATTAGTTTGAGATATATAAGTGGATTCTAAAACATGATCCATTCTAGACAGACACTTCAATACAATAGGTATTACAAACTTGAAGACTTCTGTGATGATGCCCACATAAAAAAATAGAAAATTATATGGGAGCACATTTTATTTCTGTAAGATTTATGAGATTGGAGGTGCACCCCTGAGAGTCTGTGTGGTACAGTGGTCAGTTTTGTGGCATCTTACACAGGGAAGACTTGTGTGGGAATCCAAAATGGGGTACTGAACTCCACCTACTGTGCCTGTTGGGGAGCAATGGCAGCAAGCCACTCCTTGGTAGGGGCTCTCTCAGCTCAGTTCTCTAATCCCCATCTCCTGGGTGATTGTGATTGACAGGGGATTCTAATTGTGAGTTGCATCCTTACACTGCTGGAGTTCTGCATCGCTGTGTCTCTGTCTGCATTTGGGTGCAATGCTGTCTGCTGTGATGTGACCACAGTAAGTGTCTCTGGTCTGGAGAACCGAAGCATCCTCAGCCATCTTCTTTTGTACCTCTTATGTTTGGTGTAAGAGACATAGATTATCACATACTCAAACACCTCTTTCATATACTTTGCCCCTTGGAATCAAAGGTATAAAATTATTCCTGACACTCGGTGCTGTGATTCATGGTTGATTATAAAGTTTGAGTGAGAGAGAGAGAGAGAGAGAGAGAGAGAGAGAGAGAGAGAGAGAGTTCTTGATGCCTTAAAGACCATGCAGGGCCATGGGTAATTGTTGCCATGGCTCATCTGCTCTGTGTTCTCTTTCTTCACAGGTGGTGGTTAACATATCCTCCAATGAGCAGGAACTTTCTCTGCATGCTGGAGATCATGTATATGATGAGGTGGCTTTCCCACCCACTTAAGTGGCTTCTTGGAAAACTTTGATGTTCTACCAATGTTCCTTTTCCATTTTGTCATCCAGTATTTTAGTGCCATTCATTAAAGAATGTCTTGAGTTAAAATATAATACATTTATTGATGCTGATTTTGCTCTGGTCATCTTTTCTACCCTACAATATGATTAACTTTGAACATGGTAAATGTAGCATTTAATTTAGCTATAAAATTAGCAACATACCCAAGACCACTTTACAAAAGAGAAAGGGAGAGGGAAAAAGCAAGAGAATAAGAGAACAGGACAGAGAGAGAAAGAAAGATTTTACTGGCCTATCCTTCAAAATTTATGTCACAATTATTTATTCAATTTCATGGAAGCCATCCAGCAGTATTAGTGTAAATATTTAAGGTATAACACATGACATTTTGCTGTACAGACATACACTGATTAGTACAATCAAGCATGTGGACAGATCCATTATCCAACCTGGTAGCAATTTCTTCATTGTAAGGCCACCCAGCATGGACTCATCCATGCTAGTTTCTAACATGTAACACCATGTTCCTAATTATGCATTATATCTCAGGACTATTGATCTTTTCATAACTCCAACTTTGTACAATTTCACCTCCATATCTAACATATTTCCTGTCTCCTTGCTAACAAATGTTCTAGATTCATTTCTGTTGCTGTGATCAAATACCTTGACAAAAACAACTTAGGAGAGAAAGTGGTTTCTTTCAGTCACAGTTCCAGATAATAGTCCATCATATTGAGGGGGACGTCAAGGCAGGAACTTCAGGTGGCCAGTCACATCTCATCCACCATCAGGAGCAGAGAGGAATGATTGCATGTATGCCCCCTTGCTTGCTTGCTTATGCTCAACTAGATTTTCCCAGTCATATGGTTCAGGACCCACTGTTATGGGGTCTACTTCTCATATCATTGAACTTAATTAAGACACCCAGAAACACACAGACTTGGCCACCAACCCAATGCACATAAGTTCTCATTGAGACTGTCTCCCCAGGTGACAGTGGGCTGTTTCAACTTGCCTTCTAAATCTAGTCATCACTCTGACCTCTCTTACTATGTCTCACTTTTCTTAGATTCCACATACAAGTAAGCTCACGCTGTACACTCAGTGCCTGGCATATTTCACCTCGCATAATGTTCTGTAGGTTTATGCCTATGGTCAGAGATCATAGTATTTCCTTTTTTCAATGTTTTCTTAGGTATATGTCACCGTATTTCTTTATCAATTCATCTCTGATGACATTTGTATTTTCCCATATTTGGATTTGTAAATAATTCTGCCGTGAACATGAGAGTAAAGACATTTTTGCTAGGTACTGATTTGATTTCCTCTTCCTATAAATCTAGAGGAGGAATTGTTGAGCAATAATGACTTCTCTATTCAATTTCTGATAAATTTTCACTTTGTTTTCTATGCTGGCTACACAGGTATATTTCTACCAGCTGCATACAGGATTTCCTTCTCTTTATCATAACCAGGTCCTTTCTTTTACATACAAGAGACCCTAACGGGTATGAGATGATATTTCATTATGGTTTCCATTTGCATTTTATCTACAATTATGTTTATTTTATATTTTTACATATGTATACTGGTCATGTGTATGCATTCTTTATATATATTTCCATTCTATCATTTTCCTAGTTTTTAAATGGGTTATCTAAATTTTGCTATTTGGTTGTGCGATTTCTTACTATATTTTGTTTACTAAGTCCTTATCAGATTGAGTATTCAAAATATTTTTCCTACTCTTAAATTTCTCTTCTGATTATTATTTTTATTTGGTTTTTATATTTAAAAACATCAGACGAAGTCAACATCAAAGACCCTCTCATGCTTACCTCTAGGAGACTGATGACTGTGGCTCTTATGTTCAGATTGCTAACCCATTCTGTATTGGCTTTTGTGGCTAATGTTTTATAACCTGTGTCTTAGTTTCTTCTTCATTGCTGTGACAAAACACTCTGACCAGTACCAACTTGGGGAGGAAAGGATTTATTTGTCTTACATCTCCCAGGTCGCACACAGTTCATCAGGGAGCCCAAGGTAGGAACTCAGGGCAGGAAATTGGAGGCAAGAGCTGGAGCACAGGCCATGGAGGAACGCTGCTTACAGGCTTGCTACCCTGGCCCCTGCTCAGCCTGCTTTCTTATGCAACACAGGCCCTCCTACCCAGGGGTGGCACCACCCACAGTGGGCTGGGCCCTCCCACATCACTCATCAAGAAGATGCCCTCAGACATGGCCACAGGCCAGTCCAATAGAGGCAATTCCCCGATTGAGGCTCCCTCAACCCAGGTGTGTCAAGTTGACACTAAAGCTATCCAGCACAACCTGTTGCTTTCCTAATACTAACATTTATACATTCACTGCTGCATGCACACATCAACCAATTCCATGCACTCCTCAGTAGAATAAGAGATTTAAAAAGCCCACGGGGCAAGTGACAGGTCTCAACAGGTAAGGGTACTTGTCACCAAGCCTGACTGCCTGAGTTAATTCTTGGAGTCCTCATGGTGGAAAGAAAGGATTGACGTCTAAAGGCTGTCATCCTCCTCATATATACTATCTGCACCCACACACACATACACACAAAATAAATGAATGCACAGAAAATTTATTTAGAAACCAGTAATCTCTGGGTATAGCAATAAGTCATTAGGAGTTACTTTAATATTATGTCCATTTAACAGAATATTAGTAGCAGGCCCTCCCTCGAGGGCTCATGATTTCTGTAGCCAGAGGTTCTTAGACTTGATAATGGTGTCAGGTTTGGGTTCCACCTCATTCAGTGGGTCTTAAATCCAATCAGGGAGTGCTAAGTGACTCCCATAACATCCATATCATTATTGAACTACTGGGCTATCTTGCCAGTCAGTTGCTTTTGTAATTTGCAGAGTTCAGCTGGGTAAGACTGATGATCTCTTTTCTTCATAGCACCTTCCAGCACTATGAAAGCTAGCCAGTAGGTTGAAGGTTCCAGGTCAATTACAGCTTGATTTCTCCATGTTCTATGATACAAGTATATGGTGTCCTCAGCAATAGAGTCTTATAACTAAGTTCTAGAGGGTCACCAGGAGCATTAGCAATAGCCTGAACTGTCTGAGGGTCAATGGGATCCCACTGACCAACAACTTGAAGAGAGGTAACCCATTTCTCGTACTGGGGTTTCTATTAACTGGATGAAGTGTCTAGTTGGGGTATTGTGCCCTGTTATAGGATAATTCCATTTAAACTTTTTTAAAAATATATGTACATGTATATACTTTAAAGAGCCTCTACAGTCAGTTACCATATCATATTTCAAAGGGCCTTTCGTGTTAGTTGTTCCGCTCCATACTCCCTCTTCTATCCTGTCTGCCCATCTCACACCCCATTTGATCCTTCCTGTATGCTATTCCCCTTTTTCCATTTATATCCCTGTATTCTATCTCCCTTCTCTTGAAAGATCCTCCCCTTGCACATGGCCCTTCAAGCCAGACAAAATCCCAGCATTTACGGGGGAGGTCCATATGAAGTCCCACCACTGACTAGGGAACTATTGACATGTGATAATGGCTGGGAAAAGAAAAGCCATTTTTCTTTAAGGTTGACCTAAAAGGTCAACTATGCTCTAGGGCTAGTCCCACACTGGAGTATTTGAGCAAAACAAATTGTACTTGATAGGAGAAAAAAAAAAACTTTAAAATGGATGAGTGGGGAGGTAAGGGTGGAGCTAAAAGGAGTTAGGGGAGGGGAATTATAATCAAATGCATTCTATGAAGCTCTCAAAGAATTAATAGAAAACTTTAAAGCACATGATCACCTTAGTAAGTGTAACAAACACTTTGACAATGTTCACCATCTTTTTATACTACAAACTCATACCAAATTAGGAAGAAAACAATTTTCTCAACATAGTAAAGTTCATTTAAGAAAGAATAATCCACAGCTAACATCATAGTATGAAAACTTAAAAGTTCTTTTTCTGTGACTGGGTACAGGTGAGATCCATTTCCTCCACTCGTTCAAAATAGTCTGAATCAACTAAGAAGAGAAATTGGAGGAGTAAAAGAACAATGGGATTGTTTTAAAAAGAGGTAAAATGGTGCCTTGTCTGCAGATGCCATGGTCTTTCACTTGGAAACCCCATACTTACAAATAAATACATACAAATTTTTCTCTCACTTTGAAAGAATAATATGATCATAACAAAAATGTAACAGTTTTAAACCAACAAAGGAGCAGATTAAAAATAAAAACTATGAATGTGAGAAGGAATCAATTTAGCCTTTAAATGATAATAAATTAACTAGTCAATTGTTACTGCTAATGACTATAGAAACTCTAGTATATTATTTTATTTTCCCACATTATTACTGACAGGAATATTGTTGATGAGGCTCCTATTTTAAATCTGGGGTAGTTTCGAGTATTTTTTTCCCCTGGGGAATTTTAAACAAGGTCTAATCCCTCCTTCTAAGAGCCTAATGACAAACCAAAACACAATTCTACTGAAGTTCACTCTGGGGAAGCAATGAGGTTACTGAGCTTACTTACAGAGCATGGATGAGGGGTTACTGACAGGAGCATGGGTGAGCCCAAACCCCTGCATGGGAAAGTCTTCACCCAGCATGGATGATGGCTTTCCCACGACTGCATAGATGGGAGTACCTTTCCCACATCTTCCCAATATACTCTTGCATGTTTCCTAGACCCTGGAGGTCATTTGCAATCAGGGAAAAGTTGCATACAAATGACTGGGAGGAGTGGTTGAAATACCAGGTGATGGTCCAACAACTCACGTCATGCCCTGCTTCTCTGAGAGAATATCAACAGTCCACAGGCCCCATCCTGATGATTCTGGCAAGTAGGCAGAGTTGTTCTCATGGAGATGGCAGCCTGAAGTGATTCAGAGCCCTGTCGCCAGTGTCCATTCCTGGTCACTTCTCCAGAATCCTTCTGCCTAAAGATCTATCAGGATGAGCATCCAGGTCCCTCTCACACTGTTAGGCCTGGCAATGAAGAGTGTGCTGAGGAATGAGGCCTTGACCCTTTCTGCTCTGGAGTACCTGCCTAAGACGTTCCTCCCACCACTGTTCAAGGAG